GGGCTTCTTGTTGTCCTTGATCCGGGTCACTAGTCCCAGTGAAGAAGTTCTTCCTAATGCCCAATCTAAATCTGCTCTCTGCTAGCTTGTGGCCATTATTTCTTGTAACCCCCGGGGGCGCCTTGGTGAATAAATACTCACCAATTCCCTTCTGTGCCCCCGTGATGAACTTATAGGCAGCCACAAGGTCGCCTCTCAACCTTCTCTTGCGGAGGCTGAAGAGGTCCAGGTGCCCCAGTCTCTCCTCATAGGGCTTGTCCTGCAAGCCCTTAACCGTACAAGCGGCCCTTCTCTGGACCCTCTCCAGGTTATCCACATCCCTCTTAAAGGTGCTACAAGTGTGTGAGCTAGGCAAAGGGACATGGGAAAATGAGCATCTTGGCAAAAGGACACAGACACATTGGCACACAACTTGAGTATCTGGAGTATAAATATAGATGCCGCAAGGATTGTTTCTTTGTAGTAACCTGGGGAAGGGTAACTCCTGCTCGAAGCTGTTACCATTGTCCAAACAAATTCACTGCATTGGGCTGCTTGTGCTTACTAAGCAGAGCAGCCAGCATACTGTCCAAGTGACAGTAAACCACTCAGAGCTTTTTGCCATTTAACATATTTTTTTCATTCTGTCTTTGAAATGTTTTGGTTTTCTTCTGATTTGCAGTGAAAAGAATCAGTTCCTTGGACCTAGAGGAACAACAGCCCTTCAGTGCTTAGAAGGCGGCACTGGGCAGAAATGGAGGTGTCCAAGGGAGTTAGGCACAGATGGTACAAGGTGGGAGTTGACCGATGGCTTTGAAAATGCTTGAATGTTGTACTGACCTGCTTGAAAAGCCCACTAGGATCCAGGTCCATAACGTGAGGTGTCTAACACCCACATTCAGATGAAAGTGAATTAGGTGCCCTCATGACTCTGATTGTATGGGCCTTATCATGTAGAAGTGTCCTCAGTACATTACAGATGTATAATAACGCTTAGGTGTGCCAAAGAGCTCTTGTTTCACTGCCACTAGCAAAGTAGTGTCCACTCTCTTCAGCTGGAGAAAGGGAAGAAGACAGATGGAGAAGCAGGAGAAACGGCTGCAAAGCAGACCCAGACACAGGCGTGGGCGAACTGGGCAGCCTCCTGGGGCCCAGACAGAAAGGGGGGCTGAAAATGGAAAAAATAAATAAATAAAATTGCAAAAAAGTTTACATAATTGAGCATGTACCATACTGGCAATGTTACCAATTCAGAACAAACTATTTAAAGACAGTGATACCACAGATGTGATAAAGACATTCTCAACAACAAATCATTATAACTGACAATGTGGGCTCGATACTGAAAGTTTGCCCGGGGCTGCCAGGAGTCTAGGTATTGTCCTGCTGTGAAAAGAAAGAGAAGAACAAGGAAGGTTGCCAGAAAATTGAGGAAAGTGATTTTTTCCCTTCTATTCTGCACTGCCGAGGCCACATCTTGAGTCTCGTGTCCAGTTTTGGGCCCCCCGCTACAGAAAGGATGTGGACAAGCTGGAGAGAGTCCAATGGAGGGCAATGGAAATGGCTACAGGGTTAGGACACATGACTTCTGAGGAGAGGCTGAGGGAATGGGGCTTATTCAGTCGGCATAAGAGAAGACTGGACTGAGAAGGGATTTGATAGCAGCCTTCAACTCCCTGAAGAGGGGTTCGAACGAGGATGGAGCTGGACTGTTCTCCGTGGTGGCAGAGATGACAGGACAAGGAGCAATGGCCTCAAGTTGCAGCAGGGAAGGTTGCAGTTGGATATTAGGGAAACTTTCTCACCAGGAGGGTGGTGAAGCACTGGAACAGGTTACCCAGAGAGGTGGGGGCATCTCCATCTTTGGAGGTTTGCAAGGCCAGGCACGTCTAAGCCCTGGCTGGGATGATCTAGATGTGGATGGTCCTGTTCTTTGTAGGGGGTTGGACTAGATGTGACCTCCTGAGGTCCCTTCCAACCCTCCTTGTCTATGTTTGATAAGGAGAAGAACAGGCAGGAGAGATTGTACACACTGGACTGCAAGAGGAGGCAAGGGACAGGACATGCGGGAGGTGCAGGAGCATGCACAGCCCTGGACAATGATCCTTGTTAGAAAAACACTCCGACAAGGGGGAGAAAGAGAAGCAGTTTCCAAGACTTGGCAACCCAAAGCATCAGCAGTGAAAGAGAGCACCCAGCAAGCCATGTACTCGCACTGAATGCCACCTTCCCTCCACGTTTCCTGGTTTACCATACTTATGAACGAAGGATATTCCTAACACTAGGGGCT